TAAATAATACACATAACACTAGATATTATAAATCATATATATTATATATATAATACAGAAAGAATTTAATAAAATTAAATTATTTTTACTTTTCAAAAACATCACTAAATAGTTCACAAAGCAAGACAGGAAAATTTTTATGAAGTGAATAATCACAAGAGTTTTAAAATTCATGAAAAACCATCTCAACATTTCAGATTTCTCCCCGTATCCATATGATTATTGTATTATGCTAGTATTTGGATGCATTAGAATCCTTATTTTCATGATGAAAGTGATTGGCCCAAACTTTTGGGGTGGGTATAGAGTTTTTATTTATCTTTGTACTTTTAATCCTTAATATCAAGATCAGCTCCACATTGTAGTCCACAACTGGTAAATTAAACTTTCCAGCCGTATCCATTATATCTCAAAATTATTTTAAATTTAAGAAAAGTTAAGAAACACTCAAATATAAAATAAGTATTTATTCTGCATCTTTTCTTTTGAAGAACCTCTAGTACAAGGTTGATTTGTTATTTTATAAAAAATTTAACAATCTGTTTTTACAGAGTATGTGCTCATTGGTACAGCTTTGAGAGAGAACTTAAATGTATGACTGTGCTAGCTGAAAATAAAGGACCTATTTGAAAACCATTTTAGGTGGACTTCAACTTTTTTTTTTCCAAGGTGGTATTTAATGTGTGTATCATGTACTCATTATTTTTGAAATAACCAGACCCATTCATGGTTCCTATAATTTGCTGTATTTCTCATGAAATTATGATTCTTGAAAATGCAGGGCTAAACTGGGCACTGTCATATATAATATTGACATAGAAACATAAACTCTGAGGGCCTTTGAGATATCTAAATATAAATGAGCCCTAAAGCAACTTTTCTAAGGGAGACAAAAAAGTAAAGGGTCTATTTTTTATTGGGCAATTATATTTGTTTTTGAGTTTTTCCTAATACAACAATAGAAAATGTCAGACTTTTCTAAGACCAAATAAGTATTCTGCTTTAGGTAATTCTTCTGTACTTCGCACAGCATTTTGGTTGGGAAACCATTAACCAATCATACCCCTCAGACGTGTTAATCCTTATATCGAAATCAGTTTCTGATAATATGAAATTCTCCTTCTCTTTAACAATTAATATTAGATGACTAATATTAGTTTTCTTGAGTTGATCTAAGTAGGGATAATTTAACATTAATTCTAGAAAAGTTGACTATGCCATAATCATTATTATAGCTTTTTTCAAAGTCCTTAAAATTCAGGAGCAAATGGTTTCTTGTTAGATACTAGGTACAATATTTACAAACCACCACTACTCCCTTGTGATTCAGTTTTCTCTTCTGTAAAATATAAATGGTAAAAAAGACATAAATGGTGAAATAGAGATTCTTT